CATGTCCCAAAGATGGCATCCAGACATGTTGGACGAGGAACCAAGGTCGTTTTGCAACAAAGCATTAAATACATCAAGCATCACATGATACCATTTCAGATCCTAGAGTTCTACTTTATAAGAAGTAATAGATGAAATGGCCGAGAAAATATACATTGAAATTTTCTTTTATGGCATAAAATAGCCCGATATTTCCCATAGGTACTATTCATCTCATGTGCATTGTGTGGTGTATCTACCAGGATGGAATTGAGTGCAAAACAGGGCTGAGGTGCACGTACGGAGAAGCTGGCATAGACCGAGGGGAAGATACGGTCAAAGACACAAAAGACAAAACGAGCTGGTGTGGTGCAGGAGCCGAGGGTGATGTTGTCGAGCGGGAAATGGGTGATGTTCGGCTGAGTCCAGCCGATGTGTCCGGAAGGGAGTGACGCATGCATGTTAGAGTTAGAGACAATCCTGGAGTGGACGTGGGTGTCATACACAAGGGTAAGAGGTACATCACGGTCGGAGCTCGAAGTAGACCAGGAGAAAGGGCGTAAGAGGCACAAGATTCGCTGCGGGAGGCATGTGTGTAGGTTATTGTGTTGTATAAACATATAAACAATGTCAATAAACAATTAACATGGGAGGACACTTACTTTTTGAGTTTGAAGATAAAGACACCGATACCCTTGTGCATGATATCGCTTGTGGACCGAATGAGATTCCCGGCTTTGCCATTTTGAAGGGAGGTGTTGGGCACACAATGCAAAGAACTCAGCCATGGAGTCCTCCATGTCGCAGTCGTGGAAATTTTCCTACGAAAGAACTTCTCTTAGTTACATGTTATTGTGTGTCAAAAGAATATACATATATATTTCACATGTTCTTGTGTGTGAGAATATTTCACGATTTTAAAAAGTTTGTGCATGTATCTAATAAATGAAAAGGAAACAAAGAAATAAACAAAAAAGGAAAGAAAAAAGAAAACCAAACTTTAATACATTGATAAAGAGAGAACAAAATTAAATAATATTGAATAATAGAACCATAAAACGTAAAAACTAAAGGAAAAAAGAAAAGAAAAAAGAGGATCATATAAACTGAAAATGAAACAAATAAAAAAGGAACGGAAGAAAAGAACTAGTGTTACTAGGCCACCGCCTATACTAGAGGAGAGGTCCCGTACGACGACCACGTGCATCAAACAGCTGCACCTTCGCCCTGGTGCGAAACGTCTAGGCGGTCCATTTAGCAACAATGTAGCTTTCGATACACTTTAACACACCGGTTTTCCAAATAATTTATTAAAATATAAATATTCTTCAAAAATACAAACAATTTCCCTAAAATTTAAACATTTT